CGCGGCCACTTCCAACGGTGGCCGTCGTGGCAAGTTACTCGATTCTAGAAGTATCAGATGATCGACATTAAATTGTTAGAATGCGAATAAAATACGTGAAACTAAGATACGTCATAAGATACGTTAGAATTAAAGACTAAAACAAAAATAAAATTCGGCTATGTTGATTTAAAAAATGTTACTATTAAATGCATGAGATACCGTGAATATACACACAGACTAGAAATATTAGCTTCTACCGTAATTAAAAAAAATTATACTTTACATTAGAAATGCTGTTTTATTATTAAATTTGATTAAATATATTACTAGATAATCATTCTAATTAAATAAGCAACTTAACAACCACTTTGTGCAATAGTTAAAAATTGTAATTTTCTTACCAAGTATGGCAGAATTGAGTCTCGCACAGACGGTTTCCCTCTGTTGGGGATCGAGTTGCCAACCAACCGGCGAGTTCCATGGATTTGCATAGGCTAGAAGACTGAACGCATCTTGAAGCATCTTTTTATTGCTTTCGTTTTTTCCGTGCTGTTGTCGCAAATGTATCGATTGGGAATATAACTGCCTTCCGAATTCTAACATCTTTTCGATTGCCTGTTTATCCCCGCCACAAAGCTGTTTCTTGTTATTCTTATTCGATGTATTTTCCATATTGCAATTACCGTTCTGTTGTTGCTGAATTTGATTAACACTATTGGTCTCTGGGAACAAATAAAAATTTATTTGCCATTAGAAGATATCCTAAAATTGAAAATTATTTGTTTTTAAATATTTCACAAATTAGTAAATATTTGTCCAGATGTAACTGGACTGCGATATTTTTTCTTAGGTGATTGATATATAAATTGAATAATTTAATAAATACAAATTTTTAATGATATAGTTGCATCGTCTTCTTTCACTTTAAGTTTCTTGTCTTTTCCCTAAGAACGACTTCGACAAACGTAACACGATTAAGAGAATAAAAAGCAACGCAATAACATCTCACCCATATCGACGTCTTCCCCGTTCTGACACTTGTACCCGTTGGTATTCAAATCACCATTTTGATAGCCGTTTTCGGTATTACTTTTCATGCCGTTTATAACATTCTCTTCCATATCTACATCGTTTTCAATTTGTCCATTAACAAGCTGTTGTTCGGTCGAACCGTTCATGGCATTGTTCATATTCATCTCCTCAACATTGCCATTTGTTGAGGGTTTTGTGTAAGCCTTCGTAGACTGTATAACACTAGTTTGATTGATATTGGAATTCTGTGTGATTTCCGAGTCACTGCCGTTCACCATTTCAACGAACTGCCGACATTTGAGGGCGAAAAGAAGATTCGGATCCCGTTCGAGGAGACCCGGATACAGCCGACTGGTTAATTCTATTGCTTCTCCCATTCTGCCCGCTAATACCAGCTTCAGAATTTCTGAAACAATGCATATTATCTTTTTATATTCCTCCTATAAAAGGAGAAACGAAAAAAAGAAAGAAAAAAAAAGAACAACGGTATTAGCTTCTTACTTTGTCTATTTTTAATGGAATTAAGATCTTCTTCGAAACCCTGACCAGTACTATTGGCAAAGGCTTCGGCAGTGGCACAGTAACCATGATGGACCAAATATGTTGACACCATTCTGAGAAAGAAGTAAACAAAATCTTCTAGAACTTGGTGCATAAATTTTCTGAAATCGTCCTTTTAGTGTCATGAATTACTATACGTCCGTAATATATTTGTCGGGTTTACATTAGAATTAGAGTTAGAGTTAGGGGCGTGAAACGAATCTTCGTTCGGACTACACGATGTAGTTATGCAATAGAGAAGAGATTGACTAGTGCAAATACGATTGTTATAGAATTGGACAAGTAACCGTGGTAATTAGATACTCGAGAAACTAATGACAATGATCTTAGGTTCAATAACGAATCCGCGGTCAACGGGATGATCGATGAACATGCTCGCGATATCTAAGTCGAACTCTTTGTTAAAACGTGGAATATCCACCGAGCGTACAGACACAAAGTAACTCGCTAATACGACCTCACGAGAGAATGACTTTGCGTCGCGATGATGCTGCGGAGGAAAACTATGATGGGGTGTGTCTAAGGACACGAGATCATTGGCTCGTTCGGAGGCATCGAGGATAGCCTTCGTTCGGAAGGCGAGGGAAATTGGCGTTGCTGCTAATTGATCAATCTCCATATCGGTGGTTAGAAAAAGATGCTAGCCGCCCTCGAGGGAAAGTTGCTGATGGGAGACGCCGTTCGTTGAAAAATAGGTCTCTCCTATCTTGCCGTAGTTGGGACAAAGACTGTTTGTCCGTTTGAAGGACTTTAGGCAACTAGATGTTAGTGTTTATAACGGCCCTCGGGCTAGCTGATCACGTACTATGGAGACGCGTCGGCATCTGGTAACCATCATACCCGAGGAATAGGATCTGCGTGTGGCGAGCCACGGGACAGAAACCGTTGGAACGTTTACTGTCGCGTGCCGCTACAAATATTTCTTTTAAGGAGAGCTATAGAATTACTACGTATCTTTGTTAGACAAAGCGTTCATCCCGTGACCGCGGCTACGTTCGGCGACTGGCTGTCGCCTCGAGCCCAAGCTCACTATCACAAATCTCGAACAAATACGATCGGATCGAAAGACGACGATTGTTTAATTACGCCTACGATAGAATCTAGATTACGGTAGATTAGGGGATTATTCCAAAGTTCCAAAGGGGAGGCTTCGACGTCCTTTCATCTCCGACATATTCAAACAAACGTTTTATTCTGAATCTTCGACATACGCGCTAAGTCTAAATACTTTTAACATGTACATATTATTATGCGACAGAGTATAAGTATATATGTCTACAAGGTCATTCGACATTAAACTGACGTAGTGGAAAATTACACAAGATGCACTATGCGCGCAATTATTAAATTTATTAAATTTTCAATCACGCGCTGTGAGTTCAGTTTCGACCAATTTGGAGAACAATGGAAGTTAGTTTGCATATTCATGAAAGTACTGGTCAACTCGGCTATTAATGATCATGTGTAACCAAATAATTAGCTGAATTTTGCGAACAATCGTCAATCCCCCAATGGGTAGGTTTCTTTCATGAAACGCCCAAAACTTGTACCTCGATCATATTGTAATAATATTTACGAGAGTAAGGAAAATAAAGAGATCCAACTCACTTGTGGAGGACTGCTTGCCATTGGCCCTGTCCGTGATCTGGTGTGGGATAGTTTATAATTTGCAATCTTGTTTTGACACGGAGTTCGTTAAGCATGTCATCGATGTCAAATACAAATGGTTCTTGTCCGAAGTTTGCATCGACTACCTCTCCTGGAGTTTGAAGGCCCACCGTTGGATATAAGTTTGGCTGTAAAATATACAATGAACAATGATCGACGAATCGTTATTTAGTAAGTCGTGCAATAAATCGTTATTCTTAATTAAAGATATTAGCTTCGGCTCTTCTGGAGGAAGACAAACGCGGATGAACGTTCACTTTGTTACGAGCCCTTCAATTTGTATGTACTACTAACCGGAAGATCAGTGAAGGCGATACCAAGATGGTGTCCATTCTTCGTATAGAAGGCAGTGTTGTCAACAAGATTTACACCACATCCGATTACATCTCCTGTGGTGAAGGTGGGCCCATACGGTTGTCCTGTTCCAGAGGAACAAAAACTGTGCCCATCGTCGCCATGATACCCGTAGGAGTGCTTGTCCCAACCTGGCAACCTATTCACGTTCACCCCATGGGCAGACAAGCCGATTCCCATGTAACCATCTCTGCCTTTACTAACGATCTTCACCTCAAAATAATAGAGACCACAAGCTGCTGGTATGCAGTGCGTTGTACGTACACTTGCGGCATCCTTGTGAGTTTTTCCATAACCTAAAATCGTGTATATGTATGATATTGTTTATTGATTTCGTGTTTCAATTGCTTCGTATATTAGAAGGAATTTTATTAAGAAGTTTAGGTGGGAAAATAGTTTAGGGAAGTAAAATGGAGGGCATGGTAAAACTGTTTGAATATTGAATATTAATTCTAAAATCATTACTTTTCTAATAAAATATATATCTTAATAACATCATATTAATTATTTTATATGCAGAGAATTGTAGTAAATGAAAGAACGTTTTTCGAAATAAATATAATCTTGCAATTATGTATAATGGATATAGTATATAGGAAATACTTTAGTAAGATAATATAATAATTACCTAAAATAATAAGTTATCTTCTAAAAATTAAATTTATTCTCAGACATTACGAAATAATTGATCGCTTTCGTCTCTCTTTTCGATATAAGCTCAGAGGAAGCGAGCTACGGTGAGGAAAATCACGAGGGTAGGAAATTCGAGAACAGAAGTGATCGGCCGTCACAATCTAATCGCTAATCTTGGATGCACTTGCAATGTAGCGATGCAGTTTGTCGACCTAGTAACCTACAGTTACCCATTTCACATATAATTAAGTACAAAAGAATTATTAACGCGTCTAACAAAACGCTATCGTAGAACCTTGGCTGTGACGCATCATTTTGCGTCAAAATAATCGGACGTTAATTATGTAAACATCGATGTAACAAATTAATTTACAGAACGCACGGTCTGTCACGAATAATAAACAAAGGTACACACTGATTTACTTAATCGATAATGCATACGTTTGTGCATGTTGTGAAGCTACTTGCGGCTATTTGAATATCTCGAATGAAACTGTTGAGTTAACAATTTAATGGTAATTTGAAATAGCCCAATAATAGAATAATAGAATAGAATGAAAATATTACCATAATTAATGATTAGTAATTATATTTATTTATAAGGATTTATAAGGATGTAAGTTATGATTTGCTATTGGGACAGGCAAAAATAAGAATTACTAAATTACTAAATAAAGAAATTATTAAAACGGATATTAAAATAACAAAATGAGGAAAACATGTTAACAAGTTAGAAAAGTAGAAAGGCAAATACGATATATACCGACGAACGCTTCAACTCCAGAGTATTTTCTCAATATTTATTATTAAACATCGTAACGGCTAACAAGTATTTATTTTCTAAACTACGTCGATGAATACTGTACTTTTTCCTTTGGGATGTTCGATGCTAACGAAAAATGAAGAGGCTCGTAATTAATGAGTTTGGATTAGCACGCTTACGGACGAGAGAGCGCACTAACACAAACGCAAACGCAAACGCAAACGCAAACGCACGTGTGGCCACGGTCAATTAAATTTGACGATATCCAAATGGCCTTATTAACAAGAATACTGCAACAATTTAATTCGATAGTCATTATTTGATGTTTTGATGCTCGGATTTCGTTAATGGAATAGTTACGAGGATATTATCTCGTGATAATTTCATTCCATGTTATTGTCAATTTGTTCAATTTCATATATAGCCATTTCCAGAGTTACTAGTTTTCTCATAGCGAATGCTAATTGTGTCAACGAGAAGATTAATGAATTAAATTGGAGAGCGCGGATTTTTTCAAAATAAGTTTCCAATTAGATTTAATTGTAACAGAGAAGTATGAAGTTCAGTTTCCCGTGTTTAAATTGTCTTCTTGATTTATTCGACGTACATTTAAACAATTCTATGTCTGTATTACTTCTGCTAATAACTTGGAATCAGCTTTTTATAGAGTATTGTCTTTAACATTGAGCAGAAATTAGAACGATAAATATATAAAAAAAGAAAAACCATAAAAATGTTTACAATGCAAAGACAATTTAAGATAGTAAAAATGGAAGATAGAAAAATGGAAGAAAGAAACGGTAACACGGACGAAATGAGAAAATAAGAAGGATGGGTGAAGTATAAATTGCATGTTTTTATATTTTCTAATTTTCATTAAAGAATTTGGAAAACGGTTCCTATGCGATTTATTAAATATATTAGTTTTTTATCAATTTTTATCAATTATGATTAAACAATTGTTGAATAAATGAACGAATAAGACTAATGTTACATTAAAAAATTAGATGATTAGAAAAATATGTAAATTAGATAGATTAGAAATTAAACTAGCTTTTAGTAAATTAATTTGGTTTAAATATTATAATATTTAATCTCGAATATTTGAACATTAATCATAAAATATTTGAAATCCTAAATAATAAGATAAAGAAGATATTTTTTCCATCAAATAATTTAAATATTATCATGTAAAAATGGAAATTGTGGAAGAATAAAGTTCTATGGCCGATAGTAACAAAATAACATACACTGTTAAGAATTCGTTACACTTCTTTTATTTCCCTTATGGAATAGGATATGTTACAATGCTATTTCCTCCTAGTTGCAAAGACTTACTGTATGAATGATTACTTATTTGATGCAATTAATATTCCGGTGTTAAAGAAACATATAATTTCTGATGTTGTTGTAGTATTACTTTCTTATATTAACAACATACCAAGTTACATACGTGTTAAATACATTTATTCAGCTATTAACAGTACTTTGAACGATCGTATAAATTATAAGTAATTAAAGTTCATAGCCTTAATCGTTTCTACTTTGATTATAACAACACAATAGCTCATTAAAACAAAGATTTAGTATAATCTTGACAGACAATCTCTGTGACAAACAGAAATGGAAAAGAATTGAGGTTGTTATATTTTAATCTTCTTTGAGTATGTCTGTACTTGTTCACAAAGGATTTAAAAGCCACTTTATAATCTACATACAAAGAACGAATATAAAATTGCAAAACAGGGCAAAAATATTAAATAAGAGAATAAATAGTTGAAAAAGATCAAGTGTGAATGAATAATAACCGAACAAATTATTTCAATTTGTTATTAAAGTGCAATTCTAAAAATGCAAATAATATATTTTAATTTATGGTATTTGCTGCAGAAAATTTCCAAATCTATCATAAATGCAAAACATTTACATTAATTTGTTAATATAGCCAATGAAATCATAATATAAAACATTTTACTGACAGTTTATTTACTAACCGATATGTCTTCTGCGATTGATCTATCCTTCGTACCTTTCAATATACAGTAATATGTATTCATTTTATGAATCTAAAAGTATTACTCCTAGCATTATCAATAATCACTGAAACAAATAATCACTCGATATTAATTAAATGGAAGTACAACGCAATTCCTAGATTCTTTTCTTACTTAAAGAGAAAAAGATCCTTCTGGCTACTTTTTAACGCAATCTTTTTCAAACACAAAATAGTTAATATTTAGACAGCCTCGACCTTAATTTGGAAATCAGGATATAACAACAATAACAATAACACGATTCTTGTCGTTCATCGAAATTTTCATGGATTTATTCAACATCTATATATACATAATAAATACGAATAAATACCAATGGTAGAAAACAGTGAAAAAATTCGTCCACTTCGAAACTGATTGACGACGAGAGGCCAGGGGGGAGCAGGAGCGAAGAAGAGCTCGCGAGCGAGTGCGCGAGAGAGGGTAAATACGTGGAAGCTGTGGGCGAGCAGGAGAGAGAAAAGTAACTGTTCAAACATCGCAGCTGTCATTGCCATTGCGCCTTCTCTACGCAGATTCATTTTTCTCATGAATATCCGGAAAAATCATCGCCAGAACCCCGACACTTTAATCATAAGGGATCTCGATCCACTTGCTATTTAAAATAAATGTTTACACACGATAGAGAAATAATAACCGAGCGATCGAGAGAAAGTCGAATAGAGACCATGACCGATCAGCTGATTCCTTTGTTTAGGTCGCTGACACACGCGAAACGGAGCCCTGCCATTTTCAATCGATATTACAGCTCCGTCAAACGATTCGTCCGTATCAAGCAAGAATTCGAATCCTATTGGCCGGGATCGTTCCTCGATCCTTCGTTTCGGGCAATGTTAAAAATCGTCCGCGAGAATTCTCTGGGTGGCAAAATGAAAAGTCGTTGAGAGATATAGAGGATCGAAATGAGAAACGTACCTTTGTAGTGAACACGAAGATTGTTTTGGGAGAGGCCGATGTAATTGTACTTGTCCTTGGGGCTCCACGAACGTGGCAGCGGTGTTTCCTCTTCGTTTACCATCGGATAAAGCATCTTTAGTGGATCAACGGACTGACTTTGCCCGGAATTAGTCTGAGAAGGCTCCATAACACTCGGTTCCTCGCTGGTAGCGGCCATCTTTCTCCTGGGCAGCCCCACTACTTTCGCCAGTGGACTCTGCTTGACTGACTGCGCAACACTCCTGCGCAACTCAACTTTACCTTCGGGTTCATGAAGTCCTCGATATATAGATAATCTACTTCATTGAGGAAATTTTCGATTTGCACTAGTGCTGACATCTAGCGTATTATTGGATACAATGTTAAACCTTATCAAAAGCATATATAATATACTTCAATATATTATATTGCCTGTATAATAGAGGGGAATTCTCTTTCTGTATACAATAAATGTGTTCTATTATAGATATTTCAGGAATGATAGTAAATTATGAAAAGGATATGAAACTTGAATATTAAGGAAACATAATTAATTTTTGTCTTGTTATTCTGATATATTACGGTTTATACATTATATGGTAATTATTGAAAGTGTACATATACCTTTCGTTGTATTTAATTATATATTTTTTGTAATATAAATATCATGTAATATAAATAGTACTACCTAACAGCATTTATTTCAGTAAAATTTAACCAGTTAACTGCAGAATTATTCATCGGAATTATCTGTTGAAATATTATTGATGCTATATATAGCAGATAAATACTATGAAAAGTGAATTGAGTATATGGTATATGGTATATTTATGTTCACCGGCTTCGCTAAATATAGCATGAGTGTAGTGTCAGTATATCGAGAGTCTTTGTAAAATTGTGGCTTTTTTTTGCAAATTCTATTACCTTTAATTTGCAGAACTTCTGTATATTTTAGATATCCAATATGTTTAAAAGAAGACTACAAGCACTCGGATATTTAGAATGGGACAAAGTTAATATAAATGGTTCGTATTTAACATCTGCATCAACAAGGAATTTTAACATATTGATATTATCACTAATAAAATCTAATATTTTCGAAATCATGTTCGTTAAACGAGTTACATCGAGAAGAATGTTTATTTTTCTCGAATATTTTAGAATTTGCCTAATAATTGCGTAATCTTAAAATTTGACTTTCACTTTAAATTAATCTTGTTCTAATAAATAAATTTCAGGATAAGTTGCAGAAATTTAAATAAGAATATTTCACATTCTTTTATGTATGTTTATGGCAGGCAAATACCTGAATTATTTTATTATTAACGTAAAAACATTATATTGTTATAGGTTATAATGACCGGTATAATTTATCCTATTAGAATAGTTATTATAATTATGTCTAACATAGAGATTTGAGATTGCATAATATATTACATTTAAATATCTTGTGATAAGAAAATATTATATTAGTTTTTAAAAAACATTTCGACGGCTGTAACCTATGATAGTCTAATTTCTCCGTCACTGAATCGTTTCTATATGTTTAATATGTAATTCTTGGTAAAGAATTTATTCATTCAGTAATTATTTTCGTTTAGATTAATTATAAGATTTTTCTATAAGATTTTATTTATTTTTTAAATATTAGTATTATTAAAATGTTGCAGATCCACAACATTTTCGTAAAGTAACATTATGGTTAGAGGAACAAAAGATACGTCAGTATAGTATACAAGATCGAAAAGAGCTACGCGATATAAAAAGTGAAAGTTGGCCTAAAACTTTTGCCAAATACTGTGAGGATGTTAAATGTCCAATTTCAAGTAACAATATGGATCAACTTGAATGGCTAATTGGACGTGCTATTTGGTTGGAGGCAGAGAATAATAGTAAATATTTATTTATGAATGAAATCAGAGATTCAAATAGAAATTTCTTACATAATCATTAATTGTAATTTTCAGCTGAGCAGTATTCAATAAATGTAAAAGAAATGAAATTGAAAATGAAACAGGAAGCACTGGTGCCACATCTTAAGTCCACAAATCCACTTGACAACCTAAACTGTGAGTATATATAATATAGATGTTTTTTACCAACTTTATATATTTGATTATTTTTAAATAATATTTTGCATTTTAGTTGTTTTGCTATTTTGTACCTTTAACAGTAATAAGAATGATAAAACATCTGTATACAAATATTATAAAGTATTTTATGAAATATATGTTATATTTCGTAGCCTTTCACCTAATTTATTAATATCTGTTACGTTGTTAAAGTATAAAGTAATTACATTTTTTAGTTTTCTATTTTATTCTTTGATGTTTTTTGACAAATACACAGATAAACTTCCAAATTATGCTTCATTTTGATAATTTGAAAGTTGTTAATATTAATGTTCCTACTTTTATAAACACGTTATCTTCACCGTTTCATGGCCACTAGTTGAAAGTAATGAATTTAAAAATGGGGTCTATTCTGTGGCAAAACTGCTCCGAATTCCGCAACATCCGAATCATTTGGTCACGTTAAAAGCTTGCAGTAAACTAGTACAAAGAAGATTAAATTCCGAATGCTTAAGGAATCCAAATTCCAAAATTATTCGAGGCAAACCCTTCCCTATTATGAATTGTGATCCTGGTTTTCAACTGAAGAAGACCGCAGTGGAGAATGCAGCTAAAATCCTTGCTCTTCTTTATATTCAAGATATTAGAAATCTGCAAACAAAAATTAATGAAGTGATTGTTCGTGTGCAGAGTGTCACAGCTAATCCTAAGACAGATACCAAGTTAGGAAAAGTTGGTAAATAAGGAATTATTTATTCTGCCAATAAGGCCATCTGTTATATTACTTTATAGCGTATCACAGATATGATAAAAATATTAAACGAAATCTCGAGAAGTTTCGACAAAAATACATTATTTATTTATCTTAAATTCAAGGTTACTGTAACGTGTGGTATAGTCAAGAGATGGTAATTATTTATTAAAATAGTTACGAAAATTAGTTTCGTTTAAACATGTACTCTATACCTTCTATAGGATACTTTACAGAAAATCGAAATACTTGAATTATTTTATTACATAGCCTTATGTATATCTTTTCATCATAGTTATATTATCTAATTGGTATAAATAAAAATCAAATCGGTATGATAGGAAGGCAATCATAACAAAGAATATTACATTTTGTTGCGAAAAAATGTTAATTCACTCAGCTCAAATGTAAATTTAATTGTAGATTAGTAACAAGCGAAGTGTAAACATTTTGGTTTTATATACTTGTATAAGTGAATAGTTTACTTTATTAAGAAAAACCTAAGATTCAGGTATTTTGACAATATTTATTAAGTAGGAAATTATTATAATCTTCGAATAATTCTTAAATGTATATATATTTATAAAACTGATTAATAAAGTATTTCAATATCAATCGCTATCTTCGTGTTCTGTTTTCTGATACAGTTGATTTTCTTCTAGGATTGAGTACAATATTCAGATGTAAAGATAAAATTAAAAATATAGATAGTGAGTTGCATATTTTACATTTTATGCTAATAAATATGCAAGTATTTTATAGGATTCTTGTTAAATTAAAATCTAAATTGTCTTAAATTATTTTTAAGAATACAAATGCAAATTGTATTTGTGATGAAAGATAGAAAGTCTTTATATTCAAGAAATGCAATTGTCTTTAAATTATTAAAGCAGATAAAAATACAAATATTTGAATAATAGAAATATTGTTTTTTATGTGTTTAAAAATCGTGCCAAATTGAATATACATTTTAACAAAAATTAAGCTCGTCTACTAAGGCACCATTCTATTGCATTTGTGACTTCATTGTCTGCAATACTTGTTGCACAACATCTCTATTTCACTTGTAACTTCTTTGTTTGCAAGCTTTGTAAAACAAGGATGCATTTATTGTGGTAGCATCTGTTGCACATTCTGAGCATGCCTCTGTCAAATGACTAATACGATTTGCAGACAAAGAAGTTACAAAGCAATAAAGTATTAGTCTATCTGACACAAAGAAATAGAGGACGTGCAAACCGCAATGAATGCACACGACACTCATAGTCATAGAATATATTCATTTTATACATATATCAACAAGGAGAAAGTAATATTAACAAAAATAATGAGGAAGTATTTTTCCTAGTAGATTTAGCTGGATCTGGATGTAATAAGAAGATATAAGCAATTGGTGCAAAGTTTAAGGATGGATTTAATATAAATAAAAGCTTATTAGCATTAGGATATATCATATTTCAATCAGAGAATTCTACAACATATGTTGATTATAAAGACAATAAGCTCACAAGATTGTTACAGGATTCTCTTGATGGTGATTCCATAATGCTAATTATTATAAGTCCATAGATGACAATTTACATGAAATAAGGAACCATAAATCAGACACTAAAGGTCTTAATATTTAGACCAATTACATAAATTAAGATAGGGGAATTAAAAATTTCCTTAGAGGAAGAAATTATGTAAAGAAGATGAAAATTACTGGACTTTATAATATTAAGGCACTCTTCTTTGAGGCTGCCCTTTAATATTCTTTCTAAAATCACGCATATTCGGCAGGTAATGTTGCTAATGATTATTCAGATCGCTATAAGATTAAAACAATCTTATTATAATATAAACATTGTGCAATGTTGAGTTTTGTAATTAATTAATATCATATATATATTTTACATTTGTACAAAAGGTATAACTGTTACAGTCCATATACCAATGAATTGAAATGATCTATGAATAAACCTTAAAAGTTTATCTTCTTTAAATATTGATATAGAAAGTTCAATGGTTAAGTTATACGTTAAGCTGAATTATATGGAAATTTATAGTCAATAGATTGCTTTTATCGCAAGAAAATCTCTGAAAGATATAACAATTTCTCTACATTTATGCAGCTGAAGAACGTATCTTAGAGCGATTGCAAAAGTTTGCATAGAATTAAGATTAAATTGTATGGAATTACGAGAGTCTACACCTATCTCTATTTCCAGAAGGTACAGCCTCGAGCGTTTGTTTAGCAGTATTTGCCTCTTGCATCGAAGCTTGGAGAGCTCTCGCGAGAGCTTCGTCTTCGCTCATACTGCCTTGATAATTCTTGAAGATCTCGCCATTTCTCCTATTTACTGTCATATTATTTTCTACGGCATCGAGCCGTTTTCTCCGTATCATCTCCTCCTGGCCTATACACGCGTGATCCGTTGGATGTCTGTGCTTTAAACAGAAATTCTTACCGCAATCGGAACAACGTACTTGAACTATTTCTTTGATTTTACAACCTTTTGAGGAGCATCTAGAATGAAAAAAATTTATTTAAAAATCAGTTGACTGCTTTTTACAACAGTTACAAGATTATTCAAAATCATCACCTTTGAAACAACATAAAATTTTATCTAAACAAAATTTTGTCTATTTTACCTATTAGAAAAAATTTTCTGGCTAGGTTTTCTCAAATCTGATTGACATTCGTCATCAATATGCTGCCCAACTGCAATATCTGGAGGGTCACCACGTTTTATAGGCACTGGAGCATTACAAAGTGGACATACTGGAACTTGAATATCTTTCTTATAAGCACTTGGGCAGCTATGGTTATTGTATGATATGTGTTCGGAACAAAAGATTGCAGAACATGCATCACATTTAAGAGGCAAGAAGTCCAATCGATTGCAGCTGTTCTCTGAACAATGCTCTCCTAGGTGTGGGAACTCCATCTTTTACGAAGAATATCTGCAATGAAAATTATATCATACTTTATAATACATGTAGGCTAAGGAGCGAATGGAAAACGGTGTTCTCACAGTACGAACACAAGTGATAGATCGCGTTTGAAATTAAAGTACAATGTGGTCAAAATTAAAAGTACATATATATTAATTAACACGATTGGCTACAACACTCGGTATCGCGATCCGCTTACGTTTTCGTTGTTGAAAATTAAACACGATCAAACTTTCTAACTACCGATCAAACTACCGCGCGCAACTTTTGACTTTCGGTTTTTTTTTCTTTTTTGTTCGACAATTCAATTCTTAATTCTACGTGTCGGTCTGTTTGCACCGGTTTACATATCGGCTGATCGGCATGACGGTTACGCATTCAGACTCCGGGCTTTAGCCGTCATTGCCGACGAGCCGGTTCCCATTTTATTATTTTTGCGACGGTAAAAATTCGGCAATAATTTTCACCTTCGACTCGTCGCTGTTCGTACCGACGCACATATACATACACATACATCCGCTTCCTACATGCACGCATACATTTTCAAACATGTAATTTTATAAATAAATTTCAAAAAATAACATAATATATCTGTGAAATTAAATGATGAATATAAAAGCAGCGATAATGGATGCAATTAAATAATTTAATATTGAAAATATTATTGAAGATGTTATGTTTGCGTAACAAGAAAACGAGGTTGAAAAATGATTGGTTTACAAAAAATGATAGGAAATTCCTGCATTTCGATTTATTTTTCCATAAAAAATCAACCACCTCTTGATTGGGGTTAGGTATACTTACTGTGTCGCCCTATATAAATAAATTATAACCTCTACAACTATATACACTGTCCCTAACCTTTAAACTTTAAAAAGTTAGTAAATAAAGAACTACATATATAAACAACAAGAACTGGTTAATATAATGAAATGTAAAGAAATGTATATAATGAAAATAATATAATATAATTTTGTGCAAACTCATACCTCAAGTTACGTTCGAAATAAATAGGTTACAATTCCTTTGATGTGTTTAAAGTTAATTAACGTTTTATATTTAATATACGTATATATCACAGTAAAATAAATGCCACTTTAAATAATTAAATATTTTATCACAATATTCAAAGTTTTCGGAATTGAAAGGAAAACTTATATTTCGAGAAAGAGCATAATTTTCTTAAATGTAAAATTGAGGACGTAGATACTTTCTCAAACTGACTGACTTTTCAGATTTGAAACGGATATAAAGAATCCAAACTTACGAAACGGACGGAATAATCGCGTCACTCAAAGAATAACGCGAATTAAGCATGACGTTGCTTTCAAGCGAATCGGACATGATGTCTCGATCGGTACTGATAAGATATTACAATTTATAAACAAATTTGACGACAATTCAAATCCTCAATTGATCCAAATTAACAATCTATCGTCTTATTTCCTATATGCAACTGTCAATGTACAAATTAATTATTCTATTACCCAAAATTTTAATTCGCTTTTATATTAATTTCTCAAATATTGGAATATAAGAATATAATTTTCACGAAATTTAAAGATACAAAATTGCATACATGTAAATTACTATAAATCAAGCCTGTTCGTCGATCACGAAGTCAAAATTAAATAAATACATACATACATACATAAAGTATGCAAAAATGTGTAAAATATCCAGAATAAAGTGTTCATTATAATATTTGGTAGATGAAACAGATATTTATTGAAAATCTATTTCTTTAGATATGTTCATAAAACTATAAGAATATGTAGCAGTCCGGAGTCTATTGATCATTAAACATGATCAAGGTCAAACAAATCAATAAATTAATTAACAGTCACAAGCTGGCTAGCACGTGCTAGCACGATAATAAAACATTTTTAATTGTATGAGGAAATTGAAGATTTTCGAGTGCATTTAATTTCTATTGTGTATGCGAGATTTAAATTTTCGCGCAATTGGAAAATGATCGTTCGGTTCCCGCGTTCCGTGTGCTTGAAACGAGTGGACCACGGAGCGCGCTCTCAGCGATTTACAATCATAAACTTGAGTTTGCTTTGTACTTATCACTGGAGCATGGTTTTATTATGATTTTTGAGCGCCAGGTGGCCGCGTTTTTGTTGTCCGTTTGTCGAACAGTACAGGTCTCAGCGCCATTACATCGATTAATGTCATTGTATTGCGCGTCCCGCGATAATTAATTTCCCCTGAGACGGATTAAATTCGAAATAAAGGAGATTCGGCCGATATGTCGACTAAACGTAAAAATCCGGCGACGAAGAAAGGCCGCGCGAAATCAAGGAAGGTTGAATATGACGAGGAGGACATCTCGAGCGAACACGACTCGGACGTTGATGACGCTGAGACCGGCTCGAATGCCGACGGTGAGGACGCTGCCGAAGATGATCTTGCCGATGTCTCCAGTATTCCGGAATTGCCACCGCCTGAGGTGAAATTATTTTCATCGTTTTCATATACTTATTTGTCCCAGGCAGTCTGGATGTGACTGGTGTCTGAATGAGTGAGAAAGCGACATTGGCATTTCGACGCTGATAAGCCTCACAGCCATACATTCAATGAAAAAGAATTCATTTCATAAGAGGAAAGATCATAAACTGATGATTGTCCGTACCACCAGATTTTTAAAGAATTGGAAAATTGGGAAACCCATGCAAAACTGTGTGTTTAGAGTTCTTCGTCTATAACATTTTAATTTACAAAACACCAATTGTGTACACTTAACATTGCTGCATTTAGCACTGAGACTTCTGGGCAAGTGCTGTCTATCATGAAAAGATTCCTGATGTTTCATTAACATTGCAGTTAGTTTCATCAAGAAATTAGAGACGAAACAATGTAAAGTGCAACAGTGCATAGTGTAACAATGTTAAGCGTGATAATCCAGGCTGTGAAAACAGCATTAACCGTATTTATTTGACGCCTTTATCATGAACATAATGTGACAAAAGCAGAATTTGGAAGTTTGAATGTAGATCATTGAAAATAAGATTGGTAGCCCTCAAAACATAATTGTTAATTATAAATGTTAAATGGCTGCTATTATCTTTTAATTATGGAGATAAGCATGATACAGTTTGGTAAGGGTTTCCTCTATACTACTGCTCAAAGGTACCTGTTCATTGCACATCTGTTCATTTTCCGCAAGATGTATTTTAATTATAAAATTATAGATAAAATCAAACTACAATGATTTTATTCTTTATAATGATCATAGCTTACATATAATTGGTATTTATAATCGTTGAACTTTGTATTTTGTTATTTGACAAATTCTTTATCCTCAGATTCTTTAATTATTTTAGGGAGGATGGGGTAAGCCTGGAACATTATTAATGTGTGGTCTGACAAACTGGGACATGGCAGGACGTAAAGCTCCACCGAAAGGGGTGAAAGTTAATGTAGGGCGTAGTTTGTGGACCCCGCATACTTTCAAAAATTTAAATGGCGCTAGAGTCAGATTAGTTGCTTCTGGCCCAGCTGCTTCTCATAGTATTATTGTTACTGAGGATAATAGATGCTTAGCTTTTGGTAGAAATGATAAAGGTAAATGAATGAAAGGTAAACAAAACTTATCTTATGATTAAGTATTACTATGTAAGTAAATGTGATTCACATAAATTGAAAGTTTGCAAGATTTGTTTAGTCGTATCATTTCTGTTGGTACTGGACTAACAAATTTCTTATTTGATACTAATTTCATGAGAATATAATTTTCTACTTCTACACACATACACATACACATTTTATAAATAGATTGTTTAGAGACTTTTATGACATAACTTTTGCAGGTCAGCTAGGTGTTGGTGATACGAAACGTCGGGATGAACCTACAGAAGTCACAGCATTAAAAGGTCATACAGTTATAGGAGCATCTTGCGGCCGCAATCATACTTTGTTTTTAACAAGTCGCGGCATCGTATTTGCCGCTGGAGACAATAAACTAGGTCAATGCGGCGTTGGGAAATCCGATGCCTGCATTGTCTCTGCCACTAAAGTAAAGTATTCTGGGCCGCCGATAGTGAAAGTGGGTTGTGGTGCAGATTTTTCGATGATACTAGACATTAAAGGTGGTCTGCACTCATTCGGAAGCCCAGAGTACGGAGCATTGGGCCATAACACAGATGGGAAATATTTTATAACGAATACGAAGATGGCGTTTCATTTTGAGAAAGTGCCTAAGAGAATCGTTTTATACATTGAAAGAGCAAAGGATGGCCATGTTACGCCGTTAGATCGTGTTGAGATCACGGATTTCAGTTGTGGGCACCATCATACTGTTGCAATTGATAGCAAAAATCGTGCATTTTCCTGGGGATTCGGAGGTATCGGTCGTTTGGGCCACAACGAGCAACGAGATGAACTAGTGCCTCGTTTGATTAAATTCTTGGAGCCGCCTACTCGTGGTGTCAGGGCTATATATTGTGGTAGTACTTATAGCATTGCCATCAATGTGCACGGATCAGCCTTGATGTTCGGACAAACGAAACGTACCGGAGAAGCAAATATGTACCCCAAACCGATCCAGGATTTGTCTGGTTGGGAAATTAGATGCGTCGGATGTTCTCAGACTAGCGTTGTAGTCGCGGCGGATGATTCGGTTATCGCTTGGGGTGCTAGTCCTACTTTCGGTGAATTGGTAAATAATTGTATAACGAATAAATCTTTTAACAGAGAAATCTTTAGCAGACTTTTAAACTAAGCTCCTCTTCTTCAATGAATAATTACAGGGTTTCGGTGAAATGCGTAAGTCCTCGACTACCCCGATGGAAGTGAAAGCGTTGGAAGGTTTGTACATTACTGCTGTTACCTGTGGTCTCTCTCATACGCTTATGATTTGTCGAGACGAATCCGAAGAAGAGAAGACTAAAATTAACAAACTTCAAGTATATTCCGTTTAAATCGGATAATTTACATTTTAATTACTCATAAAGTAAACGCTAATCGAATCGTCACGTCGACACATTGGGAAATTTTTTCTATACTCACCCCATCGCGATCGTTATTACATTTAAGGAAACGGAGAAGAAAGAAAACCGAATTGTAACAAAAAAACATTATTACCTTTAATTAAGCCAAGTTGTTTTAAATAACTTGAAGGAAGGATTGAAAGATCTGTGAACAATTTATTAATAGACTGCGAATAACGTCCATACAAAATATAGACTTAACTGTTACTCTCTACTTTGTACTTCCACTTTTACTTAATAATATGAAGGAAAGTTTATCATAATAGGGAACCCCATTCTGTTAGTAGCTCAGGATATAGACCAAACATATAGATAACAAAAATATATTTTGATACTTTGCTATTTTATTGAAGTACTCCCTCATTCTCTCTCACTCTCGCTTTCTCTATCTCTTAAACAAGAATGGAAATAGTTGATACGTATGAAAAAGAGTGCTGGAAACTGAGAAAAAGACACGTTATGGAATTTAACAAACACTGCCTTTACTTTTATTACTCATTTTAATGTATTTACAACACAAATAGTCTATATCATTGATTCATTACAGTAGTACCTGAATCATTAAATCTGCAGAAATCATTCTTATATTCTATGTACAGGGACATTCTAAATGCGATTATACAGAGAAGGAACGCGGATTTTATGCTTTAAATGACTGTTATTATGATAAACATATAGAGAATGTTTCATAAACTCATTCGTTTTTATGTTCGCAAGCATGAAACCTATTTTATCTAACGACGAACAAGGACAATGCTTTTTCAAAAAACCAGCATTGTTTATCATACATTTTAAACTAATAATTGTTTAACAGTTACACTCGACAAAGAAAATTTCAGCAAGAAAAAAAAGATATATATTGTTAATTACTGTATCATATAGGATAATCACAAAAGAGGATCTTGTAATAAAATTAAACATGCGATTCTTTTGGACGCTATATGTTATAAAAACTCATGTATACGTATTATAATTAAGGCTATCCACGTCATTAATATCATTAGTGAATATAATCGAAATTTTATATATAATTTTATTTTAGAACTGCTAATAACGTAATATAAAAATCCATACAAATGTAACATAATGTCATATGTTTAAGACGGACTGTAATTAGATTCACTGCCACAATGTATTTGGAGTCTTTTTTGTATTGCGACGAAATGAATTTAATACTTATTCATTCCATTCTGTTCCATGTAACACTTTCATGGAATTACACTGCACCATTTCAATAATCTTGGAACAAATGTACAAGGCAAATTACAAAATAAACGAGTTTTTTAAAGAATCTTTTTCTAAAGAGCCTTTTAAATATCTATCTTTTATAGACATTTTTATTAGTTGTTAAGATGCTCCAAATAAGATAATAATCACGCATTGCCATCTTCGTCTGATACATTGATTTTACATGAACTGCATATATCAGGAAATTCACAACTTTCCAATTTTCTAATTGGTCTCAATACGCATTTCCAACATTGTTTTTCAATACGATATAACTCTTGATGATTTTTACAAATATTACAAGGGATATTTCTTATTATAGCCTTTTGATTCAGAGTTTTAATTAATCCCTCTTTTTCTAAATGTTTTTTATCCTAGTTTAAGAATATTAATGCTTTATGTTTATGATATTATATACATTGTACTAATTATTTTTATTGAAATAAAGGAACTATTTTTCAAGCATTGAAAATTATTGTAAATAATACTGACAATAAGTTTATGATCCATTTTTATAGTAGATAATGCAATTAATTGTTGATGCTTGTCTTTCTCCGTTTGAGAAATGTTGTTGCAAGTCCATTGCAATAATTTATATCCTATGAAATGTACTGGATCTGATGGATTGTATTCTAAAGTTTTAGCCACCGCCCATGATAATGGTACCATGATATTTTGTCTATTATAAGAAATTAGAGAATGGATATAAAACAATATTTCTTAATATCAAACAATTATCATTTACCTTAAGTAATCATTTTGCTGTGCTGTTAATTCATGTACTGTTTCATTTTTTGCTAAGATGTGACATCGACAAGCATATTGTTGGTAACAATCTGGTCGACTAGGAAAACTGAAACTGCTTTTGGAGCTATTTGTCCTGCAACTCTCTTGTGTTATTTCCAGACAACTACAGGTTGGTTCCAATATAGTTAAATTGCATTCACATATTAATTCCTGCAGAAAATATTAACGCAACAGGTATGGTATATAGAACAACTTAAACAATTGTATTCAAACCTCCGTAATTGAAAATTTTGTTTCCATTTCGTCAAGTCCTAAATCAGTTAACATTTCTTCAGTTTCTTCGTCGATTCCATGTTGCTCTACTAATTGTATGACATCTTCTTCTATTCCAATGTGTTTCAAAAATTTAATTACTTTAGATGACGCAAAATTAAAGGGGGATTGCCAATTTAAAATACCAGGAACATCAATGCCACTTAAAATTAAATGGCGAAGAATAATTGGAGTTTGAAGTACTACTCCGTATATGATAATATTCCAACAATTTATTTCACTTAAACCTGTAGATCTTAAATTTAAAATCAGCCTGTCGTTAAATGTATTGAACCACATTTCTTTGAACTCCAAATTATGTGGTTCTATATGAAATTCTCTAAAATAAAGAAGTTCACAATAGCTAAGACTGATGAGGCCCAGTTTCATCGCTTTTATGATGCTGTATATGGGCATACCTAAAAATGGAGTTAAATCAATATAATTTTTGTTTTAGTTTATGTTATAGATAGAGACACCTTTCATTCTTAATTCCTTTAAAACGCTAATACTATATAAGCCACTATAGACAGTGATCCATAATCTTTTATCACTTATTCCATTAGAAATCATTTTCAGTGTATTTGATTGCACATGAATGCATTGTTTAAGTCTGTTTGTTAATAACTTTAGTAATTTTTCTGTGCTCCATGTTCCGTATATTTGAAGTCCTTTATTAGTTAGGACAACATCCAATTTAGTTGTGTGTAAAATTTCTTTTGATGATAATGTTGTACATGATTCAAAGGAAATTTCTCTACAAACAATTAAAATTAAAAAGCTGTTACAGATATAATTGAAATATTGTAACTTAGTTTACTTTTTATTATGCGGATATTTAGTAACGTTTTCATAGCTTCTGAGACGGTCGAATAACATAACTGTTTTATTTAATTAATTACATATAAATTAAATTAATTTTCAGGACACATGAAATGATCGTTTAAAATCAAATATTTTAACAGGCAACTGTTTGTGTCACACAGAGTGAGATATCACATTAGTCTATCGCAATTTAAATGGAGAAATTTGTTTTATTCGTAAAGATAAATACATTAAAATAATTTTAAGTAAATAATTTTATGAAATGAGATAATTATTGTTTATTTGATCACATTTTAAAAATATAATCATATAAAATGCAGAACATTAAATAAACATATTTAACGTAATATTGAAATACATTTTGTTTACATATGTAATGATATGCGTTTTACCTATTTATTGTTCAAATAAATATCAAAATCAAATCAATATCATGATAACAAAACAGATCAGAAAATATTGAAGCTATAAATGCTGCAGCACATGCAAAAGCGTTCTCTACAGGATTTAAAGATACCATATTTGTTTATGGCGTTACTGCAGTTCTATTGATGTTTATTAGTCATTAAATTATGTGCATACGCATAATATATTTACATGAATATAAATTTTGTATTACAAATACCTATAAAATTTAACTATTTAACAAAGAATTAGAAGATAGAAGCAAACTCATTGTATATGTATGTATCTATCTTTGATACATAAGGTACAAAATATTTTTTCCCATAACATACACAAAGCAATATAATGTGACATACTATTATTCACGTTTCTGTTTTCAATGATCTCACTCTTCGATATCTAGTTTTTGAATAAAGTTTAGACCATATTCAAGCTATAGTTTCTTTTACAGTTATCACTGGCAGAATTTTATATTACAATCATTTAAATCAAAGTGCAATAACAATTTGTATGTGGTTCGTGTGGCTGAGACTCATCTGCCAATTGTATCCCTCTCTGACCTCTATGTCTTGCACCTCCCATATTACCGTTACCATACGCTGCGGATTTAAGGAGGGCATGTCGATCCCAAAGTCCAGGAGTTTGTATTATCTACAAACAATATTAATAGATAAGAATTAATAATTTGCAAAGAAAATAAATGACTATACCTTTTGTACAAGTTCTTCGAAACAACATTTGATTCCGTCCGCCGTTTTAGCGCTGCTTTCAATGTATAGGGTTTGGTGTCTTCGGGCAAATTGTAAACCTTCTTCAGTGCTTACTTCTCTGTTTGGTAAATCTATTTTATTACCCACTACCATTTTAATAATATCTGTCTTATTGCAATATGTATTCAATTCGTTAAGCCATGTTTCTAATTTCATAAAAGTAACTCTATCTGTAACATCATACACTAATATAGCGCCTTGACCGTCTCTGTAGTAACTAGGTGTTAGAGTACGAAAACGTTCTTGTCCGGCAGTGTCCTGCAATAATTTTCGAATATATTATATTCCATTAAATAAAAAATATAAATTATGATACACTGAGGTAACTAACCCAAATTGCAAGTTTCACTGTATTGCCATCAATTGTGACTTGTTTAGTTCTATAATCCATGCCAACTGTGCTTTGCATATTTTCATGAAATTCATCCTCAGTAAATCTAAGAAGTATGCTGCCAACAATAACAATAATATAAATATATTGACTCAACTTACATAGCATTAAAAAAAAGTAATTTATCGTTTTAAATAGGTACCTTGATTTTCCAACATTTGATTCTCCTATCATTAATAGCTTTAAGACTGTTAATACATCTTGATCCATTGTCGGTATTATATCACAGCACTCAGTCTAAATATATGTTACTTATTCCTTTGATAGCGTTGACACTGTTAAAAATGAAATATAAAAGTTAATGAAAAGAAATTATTAAATTTTGACGATTTTTTAAATGACGATTGAAACATAGTTTATAATTGTGAGAAAATTCAATAAGTCTATCGTAATTTGAAAATTGCTAATTATGTACTAAATAAGAAATAGGCAATAATGTGTGTGTGTATGTATATATATATATATATATATATATATATATA